CCCCACAACCCCAAAACCCCAAAACCCCAAAACCCCAAAACCCCAAAAAGAGATATTTTATTGAAACTTTATGTTCTAGATTACTCAGTGTCGTTTAAGTAGTTATCTATCTCACTGTGCTTCTCACTCTCATAATACTCTGTGTCTATTTTCTCCAAAATGAAGCTAGGAATATTAGTCTGCATCAGATAGTGATGCAAGTTATTGGTTGAGTCTATTTCAGCCCGGATCTCGATGATTTTCTGAGTGATAATACCATTCTCATTCTGTACTGATGCAGATAGCAAGTGCTTAATCATCTCTTCATTGGAGAGATCCTCCTCTTCTTCATTAGGAGTGAAGATGAATCTAGGTGTTTGAGGAATAAACGCCAATATCTGTTCAAAACTTAGCTGGTAGAAGATCGGCTCAAATGTTTTTAACAAGAATATTGATGCGCGGAAAACACCCTCATAACCGAACACAATGAAGTAGTCCCATAATTTCAACAAAGCTTCGTTTATTACTTCAGATTTTTGGAATTGGATGGTATTCGCGAATAAGGTGATGAACCAGCTTGCTCCAAACAAGCTTGCCTGCACTGTTTCATCCTTGAAATGACTGTATAAATCAGGTAAGTACATGCTGATGAGCCTGTCAAGTTTATAGAAATACTGCTTTAGCAAAGGTAAATCATCTTTGAAAAGATCTCCCATGTTGTTGACTTCAATTAGTCCGCTAAACGCTTTGAATGCAATATTTTCATTCCGATAAAACATGAGCAAGAAGCCAGCCAGGAAGTTCATTCCTTGTCAGTATCTCACTTCAGAGTTATAGAACGCATAAGTCCTTAGAATGTTTTTCAAACCCACCTGGTCTAGATTTTTGATATTGGTATATGACCTATTAACATCCAAAGTAATGACTTCACTGACAGATTCTATTAACTCAGGATTGTCATTGATTTTGTTTTTCAAAGCTTCATATTCAATCACGTTTTCCTTGATTCTCAAGAAAAATGACCAAATAGCGCACCGTTTTGAATAATTCAAAGGCTTTTTATCTGTGTGCAATAAGCAATGCTTGTATACTTTATCCTTCAGTACTTCATTGAATACCCTGCATGCTTTCAAAATATTTATGCATGTTGTGTCATCTCCAATGTAAGGTATCACAAGACCGAGAACCATCGTATTATTATCATGGCCATACTTTTTCAACCTTTCGTTTCGTTTTAGCATCGGAATCATCATTTTCTCAGTCTCAGTAAGGATTTGCCCACCTCTTCTTGAAACTGCTTCAAGCTCGGTCAAGACAGTGTGAACTTGTACTTTAGGTATTGAATATTTCTCTCAAAAATACAATACAAGCTTCTTACCACCTTTTAACGATACTCCAAAATTCGCAAAATGATATACAAACTGACTAAGGACATTAAAAATGAGGTTTTTGGAGATGGCTTCATTCTGAGCCTCATCTTCACTAGTCCCTTTACCAAGCACATACCTGCCTAGTCCTTTGATACCTCCAAAGAGCCTTGAGCCTACTCTTTTAGAGGGTTCTTCAACTCCATTGATATAATTCATGCTTTTCCTCCTTTCATTGAATTCTTGCCTTTTGTTCTCAATGACTTTGTATATCCAGAGAATCCACTTAGAGATGTCCTGCCAGATACCATGGTTCTTGATCAGATGAGTCAGTAAGATCTTCCTCATGGAAATATTGTCTATGGCATACACGTACTGTGAGCATCCTAGGACTGATAGAACAATGTTGAAATCATTTTGCTTATCATGGATAGACACTGTAATCAGGTACTTTATAATCTCTGCCAAGCACTTTAGAATCTCCACATTCTCAATTCTTCGAGGGCTCTTGATAGCATTTAGATGGTTAGACAGGACAGCACTAATGTAGTCTTCATGAATCAGTTCAAATACTTTCAGTTGGTCATCCTTACTAAGCTCTTTCCCTGTGAAAAGACCTTCAATTGCATGTTTTACGAAATCTTTGTTGGAATTGAAATCATCAGTTTCCTTCCTTTCTTCCTTCAAATCTTGGATTGAGTCAAGCCCGAGTAAATCATGCTCTTCTTGTCCTGAGTTGTCTTCAAAAGTTTTACTTGAACTCACTCCAATAGAGTTCCTTGAAGCAGGAGAGTCGACTGATTGGCTTCTTCCAAAATCAATAAAATCTTCTAAAGATTCTCCGCTATTGAGCCTTTCTCGTTTATTCTGGATCATTTTCTTCGAATAGTCAAACGAAATGAATTCTTTCTTTTTGTAAAATTCCTTTTGAGATCTATTTTCGTCAATAAAAATTCTGATATCAGTCTGAGGGTTCATTTGATCGACTGAACTAATAGCTTCGGACAACTTTTCGGTAATTATCTCACCAAGGTCTTCAAAGGTATTAAAGAACTTCTTTAGGCAAGTCTTAGTAGCATCGACTCGGAGCTCGTCCTGATCTTGGATTTTATTAAGCCAGTCTTTGTACAGCACTTGTGAATCATCTACCAACTTATTGAAATCCTCCAGTTCTTCGATATACTCGTGGTAGCTAAGCTCTGTTTGCTTTTTGATATCAAAGGTTTGGTTAGATCTCTTCTGAACTTGTGCAAAGGTGATGACTCCTTTCTCATGATCTTGGATAGCCTTCTCAATGTCCATATCATATCTATCCCTCTTATTTTCACATTTTGTAGTACTTGTTCTGGGTCCGTTTTAAGTTATTTCTCGGCTGTTTTAAGCTCATATCTGAACTTCTGTGCCTCTTGCAGATAAGTAGATGTTTTGTGGGAATAAGTCTTCATAAATTCATCTATTGGCTCAACTCATTTATTCATAGCCATGTTCAAGTGACAGTCAAGAAACTCTGTCATTGTTCTTACTCGTCCTGAAAGTCCAGTAAGGCAGATAAAAGTTGTATCATTAGTGGTAGGTTCTGCTCTGATCTCTCTCTCAAAGGTATCTGTTAGTTTATGGATTCCTGACACAAAATTCTCTGAGCTTTTGGTAATTCCTCTTAAGAATTCAGTTAATATCTTAGAATTCTTAGCCATTTTTTTATTATGCCATGAAATGTTATCCAATGAGTCCCAAAGATCCTCTGAATACTGTAAGTGCTCGAAACTTTCTGCTTGGACGACTGAGTCTTGGGGCTGGCTATCAAAGATGCCAAGTAGGTCTTCCTCCATTTATCTCAACTATTAATATTATCAAACTTTGTTCTGTGATCTGGGGTTTTGGGGTTTTGGGGTTTTGGGGTTTTGGGG